GAAGGAACAACGACCACTCTACCCATGGCAAGGAATCGGACCTCTCGGGTGTCACTGCACGCAGCACGGGATGACTGTGCAATGATCGCGGCTCACGCTCGTCCTGCGCCCCCTACTCCTCGAGCTGCTTGCTCCTTCTCCTCACGCCCCTCCCGCTGGAGCTCCTCCTCGCTTGCTAGCGCACTTCCTGCTCCTCCGTCCAGCCGAACGGTGACAACCCAGGCCACTTTGACTCCGCGCAGCGCGCCCCGCGATGCGCGACATGATGCGCGACGCGCGGCTCGCTTCGCGCCCTCGCGCCGCCGCCCTGGAGAAAAACACCTCTCTGCAGCCCACCCAGCGGCGCGCGAACCGCGAAGACCTTCGCGCCCCGGGGGGGGAGGCCCCAAATCCACGTCTGGAAGAGACGTGCTGGGCGGCAACGTTCCCTGTGCAAACCTGCACGCAACTTGCCCCGTGTATCCAACAAATACGTAGACTTGCATAAACGTGATGCTGTAGTTTCTAAATGTGATGGCGCATACCCCTCGGCCCCTCCCACCGAAGCCAAGCCCCATCCACGGACCAACGGTGGTGAACCCATTCTGGTGTGCAGAAACGCACAAACACGCACAAAAGCCTAAAGAGTATCAATGGTTTGGGCTTCTTGAGCTTCTTAAAGATCGAGAGACGGCTCAGGAGAATGTCGACACGGCCCAAAATGGTTCCAAGACGGCCCAGGACAACCCCAAAACGACCCAAGAGGACGGCCCAAGAGTTCCTCAAGACGGCCCAAGAGGGCTCCAAGAGGACTCCCAAAAAGGCCTCGAGAAGCCAAAAACATTGATTTCCAATAAGTTTTGGACAGACTTGACCGTTCTCGCCTCTTCGGGCTTCCGACACCCCACGAAAACGCCAGATGCACCCAAAATGGCCACAAGACGGCCGCAGAAGCAACCCCTCCCAGAAAGCCCCAGGACGGCCCAAGAAAGTCTCAGGGTGGAAAACAGCCGCAACACGGCCCAACGGGGCCTCACGACGGCCCATGCGATCCTCCAGACGGCCATTGATGACCCCAATAGATCACCAAGACGGCCCGGAGATGCCCCCAAGACGGCCACGGCCCAACAGCGACCGATGACGGCCCAAGGCGTTTCCAAAACGCCCCAACAGGCTCCCAACAAACCCCAAGCATCCTCAAGATGTCCCAAGGAAGCCTACGGGGCCTCCAAGAGGCTCCCAGGAAACCCAGTCACATATTCTACACGTACCGGACGTGCACCCCGCGCAGCGAAAGGAATATACGGAATCAGAAAAATCCCCCCTAAACGGGAAACCGCAGCCGCAAGATTAGGTGACAACGCGCACCGTGACTAGATTATATGGAAGCGCGATTCGCCACCAGCCCAAGAGTCTTAGTCAATGTTTGCATTCTCTTGGGACCAACAAGCGCAATAAAAGGGGAACCGGGAAGAAAAAACAGGGCAACGGCAACCAGGCAACAGCCAGCCTCGAAGCGTATCGCGTGTGCAGCGAAAGGGCTCCTCCCGTTTTTCGCCCCTGCCCCTTTTCCACCACGGTAGTCCACCCATACTCGCTTTTCGCGCCCCGCGATATTCGCACCCACGCGCCGTTCCCCTGGAGACGGGTGCCCAGCAGCGGCGCGCGAAGCGAAGTCATCTTCGCGCCCTTGCGGTTGACCTTGTTCCCCCCCCATCCTGTCACGCACACGCTGACATGGGTTGCAGATCCGTAGATGTGGCGCGTGGCGCCATATCCACGGACGTGGAAAAGCATCCCCCGAAACGTGATATTATACGGCCACGAAACGCGAGGGTTTTGCACACAAGCGAAAGAAGTCGCTGATCGACGCGCCTGATCCCATGTTTGCGTTTGCCCGCATCGGGCATACGCTGACATGGACTAGGGCTCCGTGGGCCTGGCGCCGATGTGAAAAATGGGCGTCCTAGCGTCCCGATTGTAATGCGGCATAGGAATACAATGGGGGACGCAGAAAATAGGACGGGGCACGGTGCGTCGACCATCGTTTCGTGCCAATGTTTCGTGTCAGCTACGGCCGCGCAATGCAACCGCAGTCCGTACTTGTCCCCTGAGAACTACATTCAAAGCTGAATGGGGGAGACCAGCAGGCTTCTTAAAAGAGGTGGTTGCCAATTCTATGTCCAAAACGAAAGGCGCACACCGCAGTGCACCACACATTATGCGCGCGCGACCATCTCTGGAGGTGGAGAGACTGGGTAAAAATGACCAGTCGAGATTGCGATCGTCGCGGCGGCGCACGAAACACTAAAACTGAACAGCTTGAACATTGGACCGCCTGCTCCAGGAGATCTGTATTCAAGCTTGGTGAAAAATTATGTCTGCGCGCCCGAGCGGCGAAGATCCCCTTCGCTCGAAGGCAGCAAGAGCGCGAAACTCAGCACGGGCGCGGCCGGGCACTTGATCTTTGCCGAGCTCAGCTCCTCTTAGCCACCGCCCCTACATAGAGCCAGGCTCAGCACTTGGTTGGCTGGGGCCCTTTATCCCCATGCGGGCGCAGGACCTCGCGTCGAATCTGAAGAAAAAGCCGAGCAGATATCACTTGCAATATCAACCCTTTGTCAGTGGTCTCCTCGGCGCGCCCGTCGGCTGTCACATCGCGCGCGCCGCGCCCGCAAACGGCGTGTCCAAGTGATGTCCAGTCGGCAGGTTCCCTGATATCAGCGTGAATTGTCACGCGAACCGAAATGGACAGACCTCCAGCTGCCTTGGGCTGCGCCAGGGCTTGTGGAACGAGCGGCCCCGGTCTCAGTTCGCGCGGCGTCGCAATGGTGGAATAGCAGTCCTCGCCATAGCGCGCTGCTGGCATCTCTGACGATCTTGCATTCGACGATATGCGGCGTGCGTCGCATAAGCGCGCGACTATCGACAGTCCTGTGAACGCGCGGCCGCGCCGTAGGAGGTCGGCACCTCGGACGCTGCATCCCTCGTCGCCCTTGGCATCCCCATCGAGTCTGAAATATGCCGACTCACTGAGCGCGCCATCATTGCCCCCCGCCGTCGTCGCAGCCCAAAATATGGCTCCTGTTCGCCCGAGAATTCCCGCGCGGCGCACTGAGTCGTCGAGCCTACGCGCCAGTCGTTCCCTCGGCCCGCTGCAGCGCCGCAGCGCGCCCCATGGCCCGCATCTGCGCGAGTCGAGAGCGGGGGAACACGCCAGCCATCACGTTTGAAACTTGCGCTTCAGGAGCTGCTCCGGTGAGCTCGCGGCGTTTAGCGGGGCGCGGTTGCCTCGCGCATTCGCCCTGATCCACATTCCACGTCGCCGCTGCTGGCCCTGGCATAGCGCGCCGCGCAGTAGGCGCAGATGTTCTTTACAACTTCTAAGGGCTAAAGACCTCCTCTACCATTTCGACGCAAAAGGCCACGCGCGATTCCGCACGAATCATGTTGAAGCCGTCAACGAGTTTGGCTGTCAGGAGGTCCCGAATTGTCTCCGCCCCTCGTCATAGCTCGCGGGCTTGGGCCCGAGGGATCGGGCGCGCGCGCACAGTTGCGGAGGAAAGGCTCGGTGGCTCGGCGCATCTTGCGTCCGTGCACCCAGCGTGAGACAACGACTCTCGTAGTTGTTTTGAAGCCCAGAGGATGTTCCGAGGACTGCCGCCTTGTCGGGAGGCAATGTAAAACGCACCATTCGTTCCACTTCACTCGCCGCCACTGCGAGCTCACGGCGCGTCGGCCCCTCGAGGAAAGTCTGCCTCGTCCACGTCTGCGGGCGCGATGCTCCAGCGGGCATGGCAAACCCTCCTCGTGAGAACGTTTCCGTATCGAGAACTTCCAAGTCAATGAATACCCGAAGTGCCAGTCGTACTCTGACGGTCGTGCCCGTAACTCTACTTTTCTCGTTCTTGGCAAATGTCTACTTGTAGACGCACAGCGAAGTCATCGCGTTTGTGGCCTTGGCTGGATCCTGCATCTTGAGGCGCCTAATGTCAGCCCGTTTCATTAAATGATATACATGGTGCTTCGGAGACACTCTCGGATTTGCTCTGGGCACCTGCCGTAGGAGGCCCCCCCCCACTCCATGACTATTACTGCCCGTTGGGCAGCTGCCGACGGATGCACTCGCGTGGCAGTAAAACCAGAACCGCCCAGGGCCTCAGGCTGTTTTTCTGTCAGCGCGACCGCGCAGCTCGATGCGCTTGCCACGCTGGTCTTCGTCGAGAGCGCACGCGTCGTCTTCCGCGCATTGGATGCGGCATGTCTACATGCACTCGTCTAGCAAATAGCCCTGGTCTGCGGTTGCAGCCGCAACCGGTGCACGCCGCTGCATGGGAGTCGTGCGCGTCGGTGTTGCGTAGAGCACTCCTGCGCGGTTTGAACCCCGAGGTCAGCCTCTTCAAATTCAAACGATCGAGAGCCTGTCACCGTTGCCGACGGCGCGAGCTGGCGTCTCCGCGTCTCCGCGTGTCGAAATCGGCTACCAGCGCATTCTCATAATTTCGAAACATCTTTGTCGACCCCAGCAGTCCGTGGCCCCCTCTGGCTCAAGCCATCTCCTGGGGGGCCTCCTCCCCTGGGATCAGGGCTCGAGGTCGGCCGCCGCCGCCGCCGCCGCTCGGCGCGGCTGCCGACGCGGTGGCCCCCGCGGTGCGGCGGCGGCGGCAGCGCGGCCGCCGCCGCCGCCGGCGCTTCGCGCGCCGCGGCGGCGGCCGCGCGCGGCTCGCCGCCGCCGGTCGTGGCGGGCGGCCGCCGCGCACGCCGCGGGCGCCGCCCCTCCCCCGGGCCACCTGCGCTGCCTCTGGCAAGCCGGCGCGCTGGCGCCGCGCTGCCGGCGCTGCGCGCGCCGCTGCGGCTGCCGACGCGGCCTCCGCTTCCTGCGAGGCCGCTGCTGGTCTGGCTGGCCGCCGCCTGCGTCGCGGCCGCGTCCGCCGCCGCCGTCTCGGCCACTGCTGGCTTCTGGCCAGCCGCGGCCGCGCTCGCGCTTGCGGCTGAGCTCGCGGCCCGCGCCGGACTCGGACCTGCTCCTGCTGCCGCGATCTGGTCTTGCGCGGAGGGTCAGCGCTCTGCGGCGGCCGCGCGCCTGGCCTCGGCGGGCGCCGAGGCCGCGCGCTCAGCGGAGGCCGAGCGGTTGGTGGGGGGCGATTGCCTGGTGGAGGCAGCGCGCCTGACGGAGGCCCGCGCCGCGCGCGAAGCGGAGCGCGCGGCCGCGTTGGCGACCAAGGGCACGGCCCCGCTGGCGGCCGAACGCTGGCGGAGGCTGCGCGCGCGGCTGCTCCAGAGGCCGAGCGCGCGGCCAGGGCGGACGGCTCTGCGATTCGGCGGGCGAGATGCGAGGCGACGTCGCCGAGACGACGCGCCTTCGGCAGCAGGTCTTGGAGCCGCAGGCGGAGCCGCCCAGGGCATCCGAAGTCGAAGTGGGGGGAGTCGCCGAAGAGGAGGTGGAGGAGGGCAGCTTCGTCGACAACGGCACTGGGGAGGTCGAGCCCGGCGGGGGGCGGCGGAGCAGGGGCCCATCGCACCTAGCGCGGCCATCCCAAGTCATCTTGTGATCCGCAGGCTACGGCGTGCACTGATCCACCTGTCTGTGCGACGGTTAATCGCGCCCCTGGCTCGTCCTCTCTGCACCTGGATCCGGCGGAAGGAGGGCGCGGGGCCAGCGGCGCCAGGGGGTCCGAAGGCGACGTCGGCATTGATGGCCCAACCGAAGGCGGCAGGAGGCCTCGCAGGGGCCCGTCCGACGAGTCTCGCGGTGCTTCCGCATCCCTGGGGCCCGCGGGGCCCACCCTCTCGCCGCCGCCAGCCCCGCGCGGCCGCCCTGGGTCATGCCGGGGAACCTAAGGCGCCGGCTTGCACGGATCCACCTGCGTGCGCGACGGTTAATCGCGATCCTGGCACGATGAAAATCGAAGGCCCAGGGCATGCCCGGGGCTTGACCCGCGGAAATAAGGCCACGGGAGATCCCGCGCGATGGGCCCGTCGGCACCTCCGCCCCCTCAGTTCCCGCGACGCCCAGGTCAGCCCCGCCGCCGCCACCTCTGGAACCCAGCGTGGCCATCCCAGGTCGCGCTGGGGAACCGCAGGTGCGCATTGATCCACCTGTCTGCGCGACGCTCGGTCGCGCCCCTGGCGCCCACCTGGAAGGCGGCGAGGGCGACCCTGGACCGGCCCATCAGGCGGGGGGCGCCTGCGAAGGGCAAGCCCGGCAGGGCGGAGCCGCGGGCGCGGGGCGCCGCTCGGGCGCGCTGACCATGGAGAAGGCGGCGTCGACCGCCCAAGCCTTCACCCCGCCGAGCACGGCCAGGCCGAGGGCCCTGGGCGCGGCGCGCCCGCGCGGAATGGCCCGGGCAACCGAGTGGACCTGGAGGGGGGGGGGGGGGTCAGGGCAGCCCGATCGATCAGCCGACGAACCGCCCAGATCGATCCTGATCGATCACTCGCGCCCCATCCTGGAGCCTCTTCCTTGCACGATGGCGCCATGGAGACAAGGGCCGCTTCAAGCGGCGCTGCTCTCGGCGAGGGAAGTCGGGGGCGACGTAGCCGAACGCCGGGGCGCCCGCGATACCGGGCGCGGCGCAGGCCCGAGCGGGCCCCAGTTGACCCCGCCAGCTGCCTTCCGAGTGGCAGTATCCTTGTACCACCCCATCCCTGACCCAGAGGCGTTCGAGGCTGAGCGGGATGTGAAGTCTGGCGGTGGCCGACTGGACGCCGCCGGGCTCGACGCGCTGGCGGCCCACCGGCTGGCTGCCAAGGGCCATTCCGCATCTTTGCGATCCCTCGCGCGGGAACGCAATGGATGTGACCGACGCGCAGGGCGGGCCATTGCAGGCGTTGCGCAGGCGGAGGCTCGCCTCCCTTGCGCCCGAGGCCCGCTGCCTTGCTGGGCGGACCACATGGGCGATGGCGACGCCGAGCTCGACGCGCCTGGACCCAGCGCCAGCCGACGCCCAGCCCCGCGCACCTCCCTACGCCCCTCCCGACGACGCCCCGCCCAGCGGCCCCCGCGAGGACGCCTCTCACGGCACTTCCTCCCCGACGCCTTCCCCGACGCCCTCCCCGGCGCCCCGCCCGCCGATCCTGCCTGCGCTCTGCCTGCCAGTCTGGTCGTTGCGCGGCGTCCATCTTTGCGGCCCGCCGCGCCGCTGGCTCAAGCCGACGATTGGGTCACTGCGGACGCGCATCCGCGCGCGAGCCCTCCTCCCGCCCCCGAGGGTCCTCGCAGTTCCCCCGCGACAGCGGCCGCGGGCGGTTCGGGCGCCGCAGGCAGCTCCAGCGCCGGCGCGCGAGTGGGAGCTCTTCGGCCCGCGCGGCGCGAGCTCCTGCAACTCGTCAAGGGCACCTGGGCCGCGTTGCCAGACACCCGCGCCCAATCGGACGCGTTCGCCCCTGACTTCAAGAAGTAGGGCAAAGTGCGGGCGCGCCCTGCGGGCGCCCCATCTCGCGCCCTGCTCGACTTCCTGAGCTCCAGGGGGGGCCTTCGGGTCAGCAGGGCGCAGCAGAGAGGGGGTGGGATTGGGACGGTCTGGCATAGACTCTGTGCTCGGCGTGGAGGAGACGCCCGCGACCCCAGCCGGCACGACGCCACCTTCCTGCGACGCTTCCTCAGCCAGCATGATCAACTGTGAGCCACCCATGCGCCGCTGCTCCAGGAGTGCCCCTGCGCCCTTGGTCGCCACTGCAGGGGGAGGGCGGCGCCGCCTCTGTCGCGATTTGTGGATTCGCCTCGGCACCCTGGCCCGGGCTGCCCAACTATTCCTGGCAGCGGGCGGCGATGCCCCTAGGCGCGTCTGACTCAGCGCGCCTGACTCAGCGCACCGGATGGGCGCGTCTGACTCAGCGATGTCCCTCTGCGCACCGGATGGGCGCGTCTGACTCAGCGCGCCACCCGCCCGAGGCGATGCGCTTGCTACCGCTCCGCGGGCGCGGCATCCACCCCAGGCGCCGCGCCTCGAGCCCCTGCCCAGCTGTTGACCAACCTGTCTGCGCACTGTTTAAAAACGCCTTGCGCCCTTGGAAGCGCGCCATCCGCCCCGGGCGGCGCCCCCCCCCCCGCGTTCGCTGCCCATGGCTCTGTCTGCCCTGGCCCGTTCCGGCGCGCGCGCCGCCGCGCAGGCCGACAAGGCCCGGCAGACTCGCCCCTAACGGCTGGTGGCGCCTGCTAGGTGGCAGTGGCACTCTGCCATATCCACTTCAGGGGCACCGCTTCCGCGTCGCCCCCCCGTTTCGCCGCCTGGCTGCCTTTCATTGGAGCGCTTGGCGCCGCCCCGCCCGCGGCTGCGACGCGCGCGCCGGCCCTTGGCCTGGCCTCGCTGCCTCCCGCCCCCCCGCGCCCAAACCGCCCGCGGGCCGCTCCCGCGGTCGCCCGGAGCTCGCGGCTCCATTCTGGCCGCGCTGGCTACGCGCGGCATCTTCGAGTCTCCCTCGAGGCCCTCAGCCCGCCCTTCGCTGCGAATGCGCGCCGCCTTCGCTGCCGCTGCGTCGCCTGCTCTTCGAGCCACCCTGGCCCCCGGGCCGCCGCAGCAAGCCGGCGCAGCCTCCCCGGCAGCTGCGCTGGCTCCCCCGCGCGCCCCGCTGCGGCTTCGCCGCGCGAGGGCGCCTTTCCCCCTTCGTTGCCCCCCCCCCGCGGCCGTTCCTTTTCTTTTCCTCTCCTCCTGCACGCGGGGCAACTCGCAATGCCGTTGCCCATTTTGTTCGGGCGCGCGCGCGGACTGCCTCTGCCAGTTTGAAAAGCTGCACCGTTCGCATCGTAGCGGCGAAACCCAGGCATTGCACCGCCGCCGTAGCGCACCGATGTGCAGCTGTCTGTCAGCACGGGGGAACTTGCCTGCAGCGGCGTTACCGATCCTGAATTGGTTCCGGATCAGGTACTGGAGTTCAATATGATGCGCCTTTCGTGATGGCTTGCTGCCTGCGGCCCGTCGCAAGTAGCATTGCGAGTCAAGAGAGTAACCGGAATTGATGGCACACTCCACTGCCCCAAAGCTGGGAATGATCACGCTTGTTGCCATCATGGCCAATATGTCCATGCCCATGTCTCGCAGCAATAATGCGACCACGAAGAAAGGAGCCGTGAGTCAAGATGTTGGGACGTTGGATAATGACCTCGCGGCCTCCCGCCACAACCACCGCCCGTCTACCTTCGGGTTCTTTCCGAACGAACGGGTAAGACCCATTCCATCCGCCATGGTCGTCCTATGGAATAGTTGGTCGGCAGCAATATGCAAGATCCCCTGGTTTGTGGAGTCGAGTTCCCACTGGAAGCGTCCAAGCTCCCAGGGCGCGGTTGGTTTGGGCGACTGCTTGCGCATGGCTGATCCAAACTTTCCTCTCGAAATGGTCGTTCTCAAACTTGCCCTGAGCCCTCTCCTTTCACCTGTTTTTCTAACGAGCTCAAATATGAGAAACAAGGTGGCCGTTTGCCTGCGAAGGCGCGATGCGGAGAGCGACTCCATCGCATGCAGAAAACAATACAAGCGAATCGGGCTTCTGCAAAGGGACGCTTGAAGGTCGAGGGTGCGTCGCGTCGCGCCAGACATGCTTGGTCGCGGCGCACGACGACTCGAAGTGTTCCGTTCCGGGCTCCGATGCCAGCGGCGCGCTGTCCGAGTGCTCGCGTCCGCAACTCCGCGCCGCTACTCTCCAATACTTAACTCGCGGCAACCTTGCGCAACGCGCCCGCGCCGTCGGGGGAGAGCGCGCGCGCCAGACACGCGTCGCCAGCGTGGCCGGCAAGCGTTGAGGAAGCCATTCGCCGCATGTTCGGTACCTCTCACCCAGCACCCACGTGCGCGCACCTGTCGATCGCGGGAAAAATTGCGCCCCACGTGCAACAAGGTCCACATCTGCATATTCGCTCAGTCCGCCTACGCGGCCCACAGAAGGAAGTGCGGCGTTTCCTGGTAGCTCACGCACGCGACATTGCCGACTGGCGTCTCGTGCATCCTTGATCGTGCGCGGACGGACAGTGCCCACCCCGGCGCGAAATAGGATCAGTCATGTCCATGTCCCTGGCACGATGCCGTCGCAGCCGAAGTCTGCGAATCTGCGTTTCGATCAATGCACGATGGTAGCTGCGTAAATATTGCAATCTGCACTGGGCGTTGAACCTGGCCAAGTCGTCAGTCGTGCAAGGCTGGCACCAGTAATGACCCGAGTCTTGCGTGCAGGATGGGCATGTAAGACCCGCTGGAAAATTGATCGGGCGGTTGTGCTCCTGGGAATATGCCGCGTCTTGCTGCGACCTGCGCGTC